GAAGTTTCTTAACAAAGAAAATAACCTTTTCAGCTGGATGACAATCATTTTAGGATCCCACTGGACCACTACATTTACCCTGGCCCACTACACTAACAAGGAATGCAAGAATCCTCTAAGCTACAGTAAATTCAAAGGACAGAACTAGAGCTAGTTGAAAAATTTTCATCAAAACTGTTTGTAAAATTGGGTTTTCTATTAAACATTTATTTTGTTGTAAAAAATGTTTGCTTTCTTTGGAAACTCCTGATTTTTTCATAGAAAATCTGAACTCTAAAATATTTTGGTTAAAAATCTAAATGTTTTGACCAAAGCCCAAAATATTTCAATTTGGATGTAATGCTTGAGTTCCTCGTGGGAATTACAGTTCATTTACCTCATGACTCAATTCTCCTTTATGGACTGGGCTACCGAGCTAGACTTAATCTCTCATGATGCACTGAAGCTATAAGACTCCCATGATGTACTACCTCCTCTCACTAAGAAGACACACCACAGTGTATCATGGAAGATGAAGTCCTGGCTGAATATTCAGAATTAGTACTGTTTACTCATGCTGCCATGTGAATTCCTTTCGTTTTAACCCTGCTAGAAGAGGTTTAGAGCGTCTCTCAAGGGCAGGTGTAACTAAGGGCTGGGACAGAAAGTTATTTGAGTCAAGGATTCTCTTCCTTGTTACCTATGTGTACAAGTGCCTAACACAATGGGATCCTGACCCTTGATTTTAGAACAGCCAAACACTGGTAAGCCATAACTCCAGAGCCACAGATTGGTGTATATCTTTCAGCACACTCCTGAGTACAATGACAAGATGCCAGCTATTCCTCACATCACATGTACAGATGTTGTGTTCCTTTGCCCCTTAGATAGCTCATACAACTGAGTCCTAAATTAAGTCCTAAACAAATGTCCATAACTGCACCACCCATGCTAGTGATCATATTGTGTGAGCAAAAACATTTGTAATTGTGTACAAGTACAGTTATAATATTGTGGTTCAGGACAAAACAGCCAATCTACGATGCAAGGTGATCGCATTACTTTGCCTTTATGGCATTTTAGCCACTGAAGAAGCTGTATTTAAATTCAGCCTAACAAGAGCAGAGAGAGAAAAAAGGGGGAAGGGAGCTAGATATGTTGGGGTAAAATGTAGCTAAAGATGACTGAGGAAGAGTGAGAATAAAATCCATTTTTATGATGCCTGGAATATTCTTAGATACTCAGAACAATGAAATTACAGAGAAACTCTTCTTTTTAATCCTATGATAGGGCCAGAGAAGGAAAGGAGCCTGCCTGGGTTCGTGGGGCACTTCATGGTGACACTGAGAAGTAAATGTAAAGAATGTCTTGACCAGTTGAAGGGGAAAAAAATCAGTAGGGCTTCCCTCAGCCAAGTTAAGTGCAAAGTTCTTAACTGTGGCTTACTTCAACCAAATTCCAAAAAGAAAAAAGAAATGTCTCCAGATTCCAATCTCATCTCTAATCCTATTCCTGAAAATAAACCCATCCTCCCTGACTTCTGCTGTCAAACTTGGCTCCTGGCTCTCTACAGCACTTCACTCTGATAGTGTGCTGGGGTGAATTAATTAATTCCCCTCAGCTGGCCCTGAAAATCCCTGCACTTGAGAGGCACCTGTGGTCCTCCCTCTAGCCAAAGGGAGGGAACAGGATTTAACGCTTTCCTTGTCAGTCTCCGCACAAAACACCCCATCACAATACCTTACTTTTGGTCCCAGCATGCTTGCTTGTTTGGTCAAATAGTGACATGTACTTTACAATATTGTGCTATTAGCATATAACTTTGGTAGCATAGGTATTAAAACACCATCTTAGTAATCATTTCCTTTAGCAATTGTTAACTTGAGAGGAATCTGGCATACATTTATTATAATTATTATTACCTACAGTAGTGGTAGAAAACAGTTTGGTTTGGCATATATGATTTTCATTTTCTTCAACCAGTCTATATTTTTATAGGTCAACTACAAGTGTAACTTAAATGTTGTTAAAAATTAAAACTTTTACTCTTCCTTTTTATGAGTAGCATTTTCCTGGCTGACTTTCACTGTATAAAATGAGACATTTTTATTAAAGAGTCTTTAAAGTGGTATTAAAATTTTAACATCTCATTAGTAGAAAAACAAGGTTTGCCACTATGATATAAGAATTCTTTAGACCTTATAGAAATCTGACAGGATAGGACTATCTTACTTAATATTCTAAATGAATTCCAGGACAGAAAACATCATCATTTCCTGTAGCACAGACTCTCCGTTCTGGCTCCTAGTCAATCACTAATATGCTGGTTTTATTGTCTGAGGTTCCACAACTTCCTCTCAGGTTTGGAAATAAGAAACAGTAAAAATCTATTAAACTGGACATCTCTGACTGCTCTTAAATAATTGCAAACTGAGTTAAAAAGAGAGTGCTGATCCTCTGAGGTGCAGAACACCCTAAACTCCAATTTAGTTCAATGTCCTGTCCCTTAAATGGGCCCAGAAACTAAAAGAAACTTTAGCTTTGGGCAGAATTCTGAATTAACTCTTTCTTTAACCTATCCACAATGATGCTTTGCTGATTTTTCTGGTTTTTATTTTGTTCTGAAGATTCATTTTACATGTTCAGAAAGCAAACAGATTGTGTCTAAGAAACTGAACTCTCTTTCAAAAGTTAGGAGAGAAGAAGGAGGGAGAATACATCATATGCACTGCAAGAGGAGACCTAATGATCACATGTATAAAGAAGAAGTAGATGGAATGAAAATCATCCTCTTGTCAAACTGAAGAGATTCTAAATTGTATTTTATCTCATATGTATGGCTAAGAAATTGCTTCTATGCTTTTCTTTTAATGTTTTTAGAGATGCAAAATCAAGAAAATGAAATAAACAAGAAATCAATTTTGGTAGCACAAGACTCTACATTCTTCAAATCATATTTTTTACTTTTATCTAACTTTAAATTGATGGACAGAGTTTGCTAGTACCTCTCATCAGCCCTTTCTTGGAAATTTATTATCATGGGCTTGCAATCTGTGACCATGTTTTCTTTATAATGGAACTCATTATATCACCGAGATGATGATTCCTGTAATACACGGTTTGCAAGAAATTGTCTTCAGTATTAGCATATTTTGTCTTTTACTCATTCTGAATAACTCCAGCACAGCTCAATATTACATGATTTCCAAAATACCACCAAATTAGCTAAGTATGTTCTGTGCCGATACACAGAACAATATAACAGGTATCACAATCTCTAGAGATCCATTAAGTCTTAAGGGGAGTTGGCAGTTTGTAGAGTGCATTAATGTTTAATTTGGACACAAATTGGAGTTAATTATATGCAAGTGGTTTGTGACTTAACCTTTCCTATCTATATTTAAATCTATTTCTCTGGCTTTGTTTGATTCCAATCAAATTAGCCATATAAAGAAGAGCTACTCTATAGCCTTACAGAAAATGACCAGGTAGTGCCAACTTGGCATTGAGATGTGACTGATTTGCTTTCTGAAGGCTATCACACATTGGGAGTTTGTCGCAAATCAAAAAAATGGTGCTAAGTCTTAGATGTGGCACAAAATATCAATACATAATCTTTAAAGCTTCTGAATAGACTATAAAAATAAATCAAATCAAGCAAATTAGATTGTTTCACTGGTGAGGTTCAGAAGAAATTTGTAAGCCAAAAACCTCCATGGAGTTAAGTGATAGTTGTCTAGGTCTTGGCTTTTCTTTTCTAGAATTAGCTTTCTTTAGAGCAGGATTTGAGGAAGCAAGTTAGAAAGTGCAGATGTGCAAAGGCAAGATAAGAGACGCACATGGTAACGTTACCCACCATTTAAACTTTGCAAAGGGCCAGATTCTGATATCTTTCCTTACATCTTACACCAGGAGTAGTTTCATTCTGGAAAAGGATATTAGAATCTGGCCTGAAATTACTCGCTGCTATGGTTCTTTTTAAATAAAGGAATAATAGTACATTAAAGGCCAGATTCTGCCATGGTTGTTCATGAGTACTAATTTACTCTGCAAACAGACTTTAATTAGAACCTTCCTCTGTATGTAGTCCCATTAATGTGACTAAGTGTTACAAATTTAGGGTCCACTTTTGCAAGCTACTAAACTTAATAAATAAAGATAAAGATAAATAAATAGTAAAATGATTGTCACTCTTATTTGGTTACATTGACTTACAGTAGGAAGAGACTTGTTCACTGTTATGAACAATTCTCCTTTGAATGCTTATTAACAGCAGCAATGGCTTGGAGCCACTGTGTCGATTGAAAGATAAAGATGCTGTGCTGTCCTCTTCATGGTCTAACACTGTAGCACTAGGCATTTATTCCTAAAATATCTTTGGTGGTTTCTCTTGCTTGCTAAAACTTGCAAACAGTGAATGATCATGCTGTTTTAAATGTTGTAGACAGATGCTATTTGGATACCAAACCACTGTAATAGAACAAATCTGCAGATCTTAGTTACTCTAATAAATACTTTAAATACTGAATAAATACTTTTGATGTATCTTCCTGGAGAACTGTCATATTGCCGTTTCCGTTAATTTTGCTGAGCTTTGTATATTGTGTACTACCAGATACAAGCAAAGTATGCAGATCAGCTACAAGAAGACTGTCATTTTTTTTTGTCCAAACATCCTGATAACTAATCTAGCATTCCAAGTTTTGTATCTTCAGGCACAGAAGTGGACATGTACTATCCACTCAGCAGACACACATCCATGTCTATTGCTGGCACTTACATGCATATCAGAGATAATCTCAGAAACTTTCATGAAAAAATATTAATTCCTTCAATTCTAAATAAAGACTGTGTAAACAGGTTTGCTGTATATTTATTCTGTAATACTGCATGTGAATATACCTACAGACATATTGTACATATGTACATAATTATAGATGCTTTATGTATATAATATATGAATTTGACACAGATATAGAGGTTCATGAACCAATATGTGCACAAATTGAACAATAACTTACCTATAGAAGAATTTCTTCCTTTTTCTTTTCACTTGAGTTTGTCTAGTGTGTGGGAAAGAGACATCCACTATTCAAATTTCTTCACTTGGCTCAGATAAACTAGAGAGAGTTTTCAGTTCATACCAGCAGTGTGAGCAGTATCCCAGGAAGACTCCTCTTGCTCCAGCCACGAGTAACTGAACTCTTCCAGCACAGTCACATTTTATTTATACACATACTGTCCTTTTCAAAACAAGCCGCCAGCTGGAATGATTCAAACCTCCGTTCACCACACCGTTAAAATGCAGCTTCCTTCTTGGACATGGGAATTACACCAGGGAGCAGTCAGAGAACAGCAAAAAGGCTATGAGAACTATTTAATCACCCGAATACCAGCTGCTGCTTCTGGTGCTGCTTCTGCTGCTGTGCCTCTTGTTTAGCTGTAGTCAGTCTCCCTTTCCCTTTCTCTCATATCTACAGAGCAGAAAAGGCAGCTTTACCCGATTATGATTGGCAGAAACAGCCAATTCCTTCAGCTAATCAACCTCAAGACTTTCAAGGACTGGAAGCTGTTGTGATGTCATTCAGAGATTGACATGTTACAGATGAATACATTCCAATGGAAGCAACTTCAGAGATCAGCTGCATTCATTTCACACCACAGTGATTGATTAGATGCTCCTGGAGGATTTGCATAATCTGTCATTGTGCAGTTGGACCACCTCCTTTACAACCAGGCTATATTAAACGTGGGGGTAAAATACCCACTTGCTGCTTCTGACATCTACACCTTCAGGTAAAATCATGGGAAAGTGAAAAGTTTACTGATTTTCCTGGATGGAGTATGTTTCAATCAGGTGAAAAAACGGCATGTGAGACGTATAGCAGGAGAGTCACCCTTATGTTAAACTGCTGGCTCCCTCCCTCCCTCAAGCTAGGACCCCCTGAGAAGAGAAAAAACACTCTATTAACAAAACAGAGGGATTATAGCCAAAGTCAAGCTTCAGCTTAACCACAAATAATTTAACTGATAGTGTGTGTTGGTGTGGATGTGTTCAACCAGCTGTACTTTACCATTTCACTTAATCTGAGTGGCACACAATATCCTTCCATCCATATGTGACATACACATAGCCCACCTAGCTATTGCATACTTATTGATCAGAACCTTCTATCCCATACAGTTAAAGATTAACCCTGATCATACAACCACAGCCAAGAATCATGATTTTTTAATGCAATTTTCTTACATTACAGAAAAACTTAAACACTTTGATGTAACATCTAGTGCCCAATTTTAAATGGTTTGACTAAGGCACATATATATCTTTTCATTCCAAAATTCTTCATGCGTGATACCCTTAAACTCTGAAGTTTAGTCACTTCTACACAACCCCTCCCACAGTAAGGGAAGAGTCATTTTTAACAAGGGGATATGTGCAAACCTATATTAGTTTGACAGAATCTCTCATGTTCATGCCATGCAGACATGTCCCCAGTGTACAAGGTCCCATCTAAAAGACCCACACAGTAAATTGCAGGGAGAACTCAGTTTATCTACAGTACCTTGGAATGATGAAGGGCTAGATTAAGTCTACCACAATTTGAATCTGAGGTTCCAGGTACAGTAGGTGTTTCTAACCCTTTGCTTGGAGCCTTAATTTGTTCCCTCCAGCTAAATCAGAGATTGAGTTGGAATTAAAACCCAAGACACTTCTAGCTCATTTTTTGTAACCCCCGAATTACACAGGATCTGTGGGGATCAAATACTCATAACATGTCATGCCCTCCACAGCCTCCTAGGGACTAAGGCTATGATTGTCAAAGAGCCCTAAAGGAGTCAGATACCCAACTCACATTAAAAATTCAGTGGAAGTTGGCTGCCTAATTCCTTTGTACCTCTTTGAAAATCACAATCAAAATCAAAACCTCCAAACCATTTTACAAATTCAAGTTAAAATGTCCTTTCCAAACCTGATAGGAGAGAACACCCACCTAAGCTAGATTACCCTAGGCAATCTAGAATAACTGCCTCCTATCTTAAGTACCCCAGGATCTTAATGAAAATATCAGTCTCAGCCGTCATCCTCCGTCTGATCCTATTCACACACTTCACTCCCATCTACACTCATAGTGATATAACATAACTTTGGACTGGGCTAGTAACTTCACCACTGTGGAAAAGGGCAAGTACGGTACATCTGACAAAATGTTCCTCTGCTGCAGCCAGATGTACCAGGCACATCATCCTATTCCTTTGAATTTAATGGCACATCAAAAAATGCAATAGCACAGATGCTCCTTTGGAGGGCCAGCAGCCAAGTGGTTAAGCATGTCCTCAGAAATTTATTTTAATTTAGATGATAAAGTCAATACACTCAGCCATTCCCAGAGCTTTATTCCTTAGCCTAATGGCATGTCATAATGGAAGAATCCACCATGAAGCAGCATTGCTATTAATTTGTACCACCTCAAAACTCTCCTTCCCTATCCAATGCCTTAAAGACCATTTTGAGTGGAACACACAATATCTTACTATAGCTTCTAGATAGAGTCCGCCCACTGACACAAATATCCAAAATCAATACTCATTTCAGCTCTCTCTGGCTGTTCAGGATAATGTTCCAATGCTGGTCTGTTCATACTACTGTCTGGAGTTTCACAGATTGCTACAAGATTAATGTTAGTGGCATAGACCCATTTGCTCAGCTCAAGTGGCTGGCCTTACCCAAGTGGAATTATATCAAAAGATTATAAACTGGTCTGTCATATCTTCTTTTAATGCTTGAAACACAGGCAAATCTGCTCTGTCTATGTGAAACAAAAAGAGCTTACCCACTTTTGGGTAAGGGATAAAGAAATTCCCACATATCAAATTCCTGCTCCTATCTATTTTGAGTAGTGGGGATAAGCAGACTCCTTTTGTCTAAATTCTACCCCAACCATGAGTCAGTTTGAAAGGGCCACTCAGTTTAGAACATTGTTGGTTTCCTATTCTATTTCAGAGAGACTCTCTGAAAAATAAGGAACAGAAGAGAGACCAGTGAGAAAAATAATTCAGTGAAAAAATAGGGTAAAAAGCCCCCAAAAGCAGCAAAGGAGAAACAGAGGAAATTTCTAACTCTAATAATAAAACAGCCACAACATTAATTTATACCACCTGACAGGTAATCTTCTATCCCTTCCATATAGTATGGACTTTTCATTATCTAATTAAATATTTTTAAAATTGAATTACCCTTGGAAATAAAATATTAGTTAATACCACCATTATGTTTATCGATGTATTTTTACTTAATCCCTTGTGAACCTTTCTGCCATCTATGTCGGCTGGAAAATTACAGATGAAATCATGAGAACAATCTTGATCCCTCTCTCACACTTTTCAGAGAGCACCTCATTTCTCTCCCTGCCTCCCCAATTCTTTAGCATGTGTAAATCTTTCTTTTGCTCTGTAAAATTTGTTCTTGAAAAAGCTACAGTTTGTAAATTCTGGAAACAAGTAAGAAAATGTTTAACTCTTCTCAACCCAATTGCCTTCTACCAAACCCACTATTACTCAGCTTCGGTGAGCTGAAATCAACAAAATACCAAGTCCAAGATTTTCAGAAATGGGTGCCTACAGTGAAAATGATGGGAACTGCTGAAGATTCAGCATTTTTGAAAATCATGACTCTTATTTTGCTACCTACGTAAAACCAGGATCTGAAGTCCATACTTATCTATCCTTTCTTAGGTACTTGTATGGCCCACATCACTCTAGTATCTGTATGACTCACATTCTTTAATGTATTCAACTTCACAACATCCTTGTAAGGTAAAGAAGTGCTCTTATCTCCAATTTACAGCTGGGAGCTGAGGCACAGAGAATAAGCGCCTTGTCCCAGATCACATAGTTCTCCTGTGGCAGTGCAAGGCATTTTGAATCCTGGTCTCCTGAGGCCCAGGCAAACACCCTAATCACCCTCTCTATTTTAAAAAATTCTATCCCAAATCTTTCAGGAGTATAAAAGGAATGTTTTGCCAATGTTATGTATATTTTGTGCTTTCCACTGTTTTCCTCATCGACCCGTTGCAATGCTCTGAGAATATTTTAAAAAAGGATTCTTATTTTTCTGTTCAAAGCAAACTTTACAGATAACAAAAATGTCCTACAGCCCTATGGGGCACCTCTCCAAAATAAGTCCTAGTAAATATAAATGGTTGTTTCAACTAAAAGTACCCTCCCACTTTCTGGCCACGTTGGATTCCTGAGTTTCAAAACAAGAAACAGCCGTCTCTCAAAGACCTGCTTCTTCTTGAGTTGTGGAGGCATCATGTGAGCTTCCCTACATCAAGCCAATTGATCATGAAAAAAAAACCAGGAGTACTTGTGGCACCTTAGAGATAACACATTTATTAGAGCATAAGCTTTTGTGGGCTACAGCCCACTTCATCGGATGCACAGAATGGAACATATAGTAAGAAGATATATATATATATATGAGAGAGAGAGAGAGAAGGTAGAAGTTGCCATACAAACTGTAAGAGGCTAATTAATTAAAATGAGCTATTATCAGCAGGATAATAGTAGTGATAATCAAGATGGCCCATTGAGCATGGGTTGATGAAGCTTATTTCACTGAATGTGCACAAAGGATTTAAAAGCAGTTCCTTAGCTGGTATAAATCATCATAGCCACTTTGACTTCAATAGAGCTAATGCAACTTACAGCAGCAGAAGATCTGCCCCTAAGGCTCCAACAGGGTCCTCCAGATCCATAGTGTTTTTATGTATATTAAGCTAACATAAAATGATAGCCGGATTTTTACAGCATTCAAATACATATTTCACTAACTATAAGGAATTTCTTTCTAGTGTCTTGTTAAGTTTATTTTAAAAGAATCCAATACTTCGGCTCTAAACCAAAGTGTTTAGCAGTTATGTAAGCTCAGATGTGCACAGATGAAATATATATGTGTACACACACACACTTGGACTTCCGCTTCATGCCTCACCACACACCCAAGGCATTCATATCTTTTACTAGAAGTGCCTGCATTGTTATGGGTTATTCTTTATTTCCCAGATGATATATGGGGAAGATGCTGCTAGTATTCCACTTAAGTACGAAGCAATGAATTGAAACAAAAAACCTGTTACAATGTCTTATGGGGGGGAGGGAGGGGCAAAAGATATTCCCTAGAATTCCTCCCTGCAGACCGTCTTCAAATCACACTGCTTCTGTTATTCCACTGTCTACATTGCATACAACTCCACTTTTCTGTTGCAGGTGGCAGAGGCTAATTGGATACCTTTGTTCTGTAATGGTTGTTATCTTTTCCTCCCTTATAAAGTAACCTTTATATCCAGATGTGACTTTGTTACTGTAAAGGCTATGTTACTTTCAGAGAGTGTGTTGATATAAACCAATATTCAATTATATGTTATACCAATATTCATTAACATTTAACATTAGAACTGTCCCACATTGTTCTAATCCTATCGCTATCTTATGCCTTAAATGATTACTTAACCGAAAAAGTATAAATCCAGTCATCAAAACACTAACCATCGAAGAGAAAAATAGATGGACTTGTGCCTCTTAATCCGAAACCTAATCAATGTCACTGCTTACTGTACAACCAAGTCATTTTGACATTGAGTGCTGTAGAAAAGACAACAGCACTTCTTATCCAAG